CTATCTCAGACAACGTTTCACCGTTATCCATAAATTTTCAGTGGCCAGCTTTTTCAGAAGTGGATGACCCTGTCCTTCTTCCCAGTCTGTCAGTCTGGAAGCTCTGCTGAAACCTGTCTACCAAAGGTGACCCTGCTGGTATTTGAAATACCAGTGGCATAGCCTCTGGCCTCACAGTAACATGCAAACCACCGAGTATGACAAATTGACAGACGAGTGGTGGGGTGATGGGTAGTATTTAGGAAAGGGGGACTTGATGTGAGAGAACTAAATATTTTTCTTCCTACATCCAGTTTAATAAAGATTATCACAGGTTAAGGAGTCCTTACGTGGTACAAACAGTCAACCTGCTCAGCTGCTAACTGAAAAGTTAAAGGTTTGAGTCCACCCAGAGGTGTCTGGAAGAAAGGCCTGATAAAACAGCACTGAAACCCCTAAGGAGTATAGATCTGTTCTGACACACATGGGGGTCACCATGAGTCAGAACTGACTCAATGGTAACTGGTTAGTTTGTTTGTTTAAAATCATAGGTTAAATCAATATTTACATGACTGCCTGCATATATGTATTTTCATCTGGTATTTTCATCTGTTTCAACATTACAAGGACTCAGCAGCAGAGTTCATTGTAGACAAGTTATTCTACCATCCTCTATGTAGCAATAAAACCAGGGTCAGTACTGATTATTTTTAGGGGGTATTGGCTTCCTATAAAGCTTGTAATGGGTCTCTACTAGCTCTACTGCCAAACTGAAGTCTCTGTCTCAAGCAACATAAAATACACATACGTGTACGCTCATATAAGCACACGATTTTGCTAAAAATGTTAGCACTTACCAAAACTGAGCTTTCCCTCACTTGTTCTAAAATTTACGCTAATTTCAAACACCACCTCCCTTTCAAATTCCATTCCTGGTAACTCCAGAATAAACAGTACAAATCAGGTCACTAATACAAAATGTAAGGGTCCGTTACTGGTAAGCCTCATGAGATCATTCAATATCTATGTAACATCTAAGCCTTTGGGTCAGGCATTAAGCAATTACTGTTCCTCATGAATCAATACACATGTGCACATAAATATCTAAAAACAACATTCAAAGGTGATGTTACTCTTCACTAGCCAAGTATGCAGAAATCTAATTGCTTTGTTCATTCTCCCACTCCTACCCCGTGTCCTACCATCCGCACTATAAAACATTGTTGCTACCACAGGAGGTGACTGCAGAAAGGTCACTTCACTCCGTGACAATGCTGTCCTTGCAGAAATACTGACTGGGTCTGACAAATAATGTTGGGCTGCACATAAAAGGAACTACAACTGATAAAAGGGTGATGTGAGAAGAAGGTAGTGTGCATCAGATTACGATAAAAGCACAAAGAATTTCGAAAGCCTTTATTCCTACAAACTCCAACCCCAACATGTACTTTAAAAATTTAATTGACATATTTTGGATTACACAGCACCTCATCATAAAATTTCCCTTAAACCAATTATGATTTGCTTTGAACAATGAATAGAAAATAATGATGGCATAGTGCCTAAGGCATTTGACTGCTAACCAGAATGCTGGAGGTTCAAATCCACCAGCCACTCCTTGGAAGACTGGGCAATCTACTTCCATAGAGATATGCCTTGAAAATCCAAGGAGGGGTCACTAAGTCAAATCGACTCGATGACAGTGAGTTTGGTTTTTTTAATAGTAAAAATCTGAAATAATAGCCCTACCCACAACTTTTTTAAGGTATTGAAGTCTAAAAACCAAACCAAACTCACTGCCATGGAGTCTATTCTGACTCACAGCAATCCCTACTGGGTTTCCATGGCTGGAAATCTTTATGGAAGTAGATTGCCTCATCTTCCTCTCATAGAGCAGCTGGTGGGTTTGAACTGCTGACTTTCTGATTAGCAGCCAATGTCTTACCCACTGCACCACCAGAACTCCTTTCTAGCATAGCCCATATTACATAAAAATATAGCATCTCATTCATATAAAAAATGTTAGCTGTGTGTGAGTGCGTGCATGTGTGTGCTCCTGAATAACTCTTTCTGGGGTTCAGAACCGGGCAACAGGAGTTGTTTCCAAATTAAACCCATCAAAACATCCCCCCCTCAAAAGAAAAAAAAAAACCTAACTCACTGCCGTCAAGTTGATTCCAACTCATAGCAACCTCTCCTTAGGTTTCCGAGGCGGTATCAATACAGAAGTAAATTGCCCGGTCTTCCTTCCAAGGAGTGGCTGGTGGGTTTGAACCACCAGCCTCCTGGTTAGCAGTCAAGTGCCTCAGGCACTACACCACCAGAGAGAGAGATACTAGAAACTTTATCAAAGTACTTAGTATCTACAGTGTCAAAAGACAAATCTTTTACTACAGGAATATTCCCTACTTCTAAAATGTGCTACAGCTTTCCTGGAAAAATCTGACTGATGCCATCATTCATTCACTCAGAAAACATTTACTAAAAGCCAACCATGCCACAGATGCCTGGATACAAAGGCAAAACAAGTTAACGTAACAAGAAAATGCTCTGTAGTTGGGTAAATGCTAGATGGGTGAGAAAACAGTGCTAGAGCAACACAGTGTCAGCTAATCCAGGAAACATTCCTGGGGGAGTTAATACCTGAATGTGATTCAAAAAGAAGTGACTAGCAATTTTAAGGGAGCTCTGGTAGCTTAGTGGCTAAGGCACTTGACTGCTCACCAGAAGGCTGACAGTTCAAACCCACCAGCCACTCCTCGGAAGGAAGGTTGGGCAATCCTACTTCCGTAGTGATACTGCCTTGGAAACCCAAGGAGGGGTCACTATGAGTCGGGGCCGACTCAATGGCTAACAACAACAGCAATTTTAAAGCCTCACCCCAGGGCACTGTGAAGACCAGACTGGAGGGTCTTAGTATGCGGGCCAAAGACCAGACAGAAAGCTGACATAGTAATCTAAGGGGAAGGACTGACCTAGGCAAACAGTGGCAAAAACTGAGTCTCATGTTTAAACTCAATTGTAACACTGGCTTGTAATTATTTTTAATAATCAGGACTAACTTTCAGATACCTGATTGCCAATACTAATTAAGATCAATTATTTATGTTGGACCTCATGAAACCATTCCTCTTTCTTCCATTACCTTACATTTATTTTGGTCAAAAGGAGTAAAGAAAGAATGGAAATAGGAAGAAAGGACCACTGGTTCTTCCAGCTGTCTACTTGGATAGGCACCAAAGCCCTTATTAATAAGCTTAAAAGGAGAAACTTATTCCTTCAGCTTTAGAGGTCTGTTCTTCCAATTAAAGACAAATGCCACATGGGCAGTAACTGACACCCAGGAATTCTAAGTTCCTTCATTTATCTTTCCAGTGTCTTGCTTTCTGGTATCTTACAGTGAAAGCATTTTCTTTGCCAAATGATGACTTACCTCAACCTTACGTTATCCACTTCCTAGAGCTAAACTCCCAAGCTGGAGGAAGGTAAAGTAAACTACAATAATCCTTATACCATCACCGCCACCATCCCAAAGTCTCCAAAATACCACTGCTCCAAAAAGCACAAACAGACAACAGAATTTCACTTTCAACCAAACAGAATGGGAGGATTTAAAGGTCAATCTGTGATCTCATGTGTAGCAAATATCACTACCTTCATAAGATTTAACACTACTTCTCATGTATGAAGGAGCTCTGCTGGCACAGTCGCTAAGCATTTGGCTACTAACCAAAAGGTCAGTGGTTCAAATCCACCAGTCACTCAGCAAGAGAAAGATGTGGCAGTCCACTTCCATAAAGGTTACAGCCTTGGAACCCCTAAGTGGCAATTCTACTTTGTCCTACCCAGGTGGCTATGATTCAGAAGTGACTCAACAACAACAGGTTCGGCTTTCTGGTTTGTCATACTATGTATTCATTTATGTTCACTATCTATGAATCTTTGCTAAACTGTAAGGACTATGAAGACAGTGTCTTTGTTTCGTTGACTGCTCTAAGACCCACACCTAGAACAAGGCACTCACCACCCGTCTGTCAGTTTGTTGTACCACAATGGCTTGCATGTGGCTATGATTCCGGAAGCTAAGCCACCGGTTATTTCCAATACCAGCAGGGTCATCCGTGGTGGACAGGTTTCAATGGAGTTTCCAGATTAAGACAAGGAAGAAAGGCCTGACTACGCCCCAAAATCAGCCAATGACAACCTTATGACTCAGGACAGAACACTGTTGTCCACTGATGACTCCCTCAGGTCGGAAGGCACTCCACAACAATGGGCTCAAACATAACAACGATCGTGACCACGGACTGGACCAGCCAACAATTCGTTCTGTTATACATAAGGTCGCTACGAGTTAGACTCAACTTGACAGCAACTAACAGAACAAGGCACAGCACATAGTAGGTGTTCACTAAATACCTGTTAAACAACTGAGTAAAAGCGAACTCAAACATTTGAGAATTAACTCTCAGACAAACTTCATGTCACTCTTGTTAAACCATCTCCAAGCCTATCTTCTCTAGAAGATAAAGTCAACAAAACAAAGCCTGCAAGCCCCCTCAAAATCGGGCCCTGGCTGCTCTGTTCGCCATGCACCCACAACACCCCACCTGTAAACACAGCCAATACATATAAACACCTCCAAACGCTAGCGATACCAAAACTGCCTGCGACTCGCGAAACGTGCTTTCTTCCAATCCTACAAGCTTTTTAAAATGATTTTCCCTCTCTCTGGAAAATCGTACTTCCCTGTTACGTACCTGACTTATTCTTCCTTCAAAGCCCACTTTAAACGCCTCCTCTACCCACCCTCACGATTTCCCCTCTGCCCGCCACACGTAACAGAGGTCAAGTACGAGCTGCTACCCCTGTTTCGTGTTCATATGCTTCTCGTCTCTTTCCCACCATCCGGAAGTTCAAGATATCATCGATGGACTGGGTTCCAAATCGCTGTATTGCGGATGCCCAGCCCACTCCTCGGCTGGATAGAGGCTGCGGGCGCTGAATGGAGCCCAGCGAACCCCACTCCATCTCAGACGGCGTCAGCCCCATCGTGCTCCCACGGCCCCGTACTCTCCGAGCTCTGGGCTGCGGGTCGGTTTTCCCGAGACCCTGGCGGGGGGAGAATGGGAGTCGGCAGAGAGGAACCAGCCCAGGCCCGCGAGTCAGGCAAGCAGGTGCCGGCGGAATGGGGTCAAACCGGCCGGAGCCCCACGCCTGGTCTGGGCCGTACCTGCCTCACGTTGGCCGGCAACTTGCTCCAGGGGTAGTTGTGCCGGATGTGGAACTCCACGTCTATGTTCATGATGCTGGGAGCTGGGGCCGGCGGCGGCCACGGCTGAGGCGACGCCTCCCGCCCGCCCGCCCTCGGCCTGTCAGGGGAGCCCGCGGGAGGCCCCGCGCCTCACACTGCGAAAGGTCCGGGCTGCTCCATGGCCAGAGCTCCCGACAGCTCGGCGCGGCCCGGGCCACGGGGCACCTGGTAGCAGCAAGCGACAGCAGAGGTGCCTCACCAGCTCCAAGTTTCTTCCTAGTTTCGACTCGCCGGAAATGGCTCTGGGCTTGCGTCACTTCCGCTCGCTGGCGCGAGGCTGGAGAGGCGGGGCACACGCTGGGCTTGGGCTTGGTCCCCTCGGTTTCGTAGGGCGGGCTAACCGGTGGTACTATTGTGAGGTACCGGGGTACAGCCGCGTATCTCCGCTTCCTCTCACTCTTCCAGTCTCTGCATGAATTAAGATAGTTTCTTGGGTCTGCGTAGCCATTGTTGGATGACCTCGTTTCCCAAAAATGTGACCCAGCGTGGCCCAAAGACGTGAAGTTACAGACACTGGAGTCAGTTACCTGAGAAGGAGAAATTTGGGAAGGGAGCGATAGCTGGTTTCAAATAATGGAAGAGCCGTGAGCCCACTGAGGGTTCTCCACAGATCAATCCCTACCGGGGCCAGGAGGATGGGATGTCTGTCCAGACTCGCGAGGAAGGAACGTGTAAGAGCTTTCTCCCAGTTGAGCGATAAGCCATGGAAAGCGGTGGAGCAAACGCCTAATGACCTTCCTCGCGTCGGAGGAGTTGCTGCATCTTGTACAAGGGGAACTTTGGGCTCTACTCCTGAAGTCCAGCTCCTTACCATGCAGGGATGCAAACCAAACAAACCATACCCACTGCCATCGAGTCGTATCCGACTCATAGCAACCCCTCCTTGGGTTTCCGAAGCAGTAGATTGCCCAACCTTCCTTCCAATGAGTGGCTGGTGGGTTTGAACCACCAGCCTTCTAGTTATCAGTCAAGTGCCTTAGGCACTATGCCACCAGAGCTCCCATGTAGGGATGCAGGGAGTGACAAATGCTAAGACAAATACCCTTGCCAAGCTTTGCCACACAGCTTCTCGGGTCCTGCTGCTTCTGCTCCACGCTAGTATCTGCAGAGTTACTTTTTAAAGGAAAAAATCAGGCCTATCTAATTTCATCCCCAGTGAGAACAATTTCTTTGGGAACAATGTCTTCCAGAATTTGTTACACTGGCTTAGCAAGCCCATGACCATTGTCACTGGCAGCTACTAGAGACAACTTCAGTATTTTTGCAGCAATTTTCTGGTTTCATACAATGGTTTTATACAATGGTTTTATACAATGTTCTACTGTACATTGATAGGTATATATTCAGAAACTTTTATAAGATTCCTAGCCCATACCACAGCAGCTAGCCAGTCTGACACATAGCAGGAACACCATTAGATCTGAAGAACTGAAGCAAATGTGGTACACACTTTGGATAGGTCTTTGAATGGGTATGTTGGTCTGAATATTATCTGACTACAGTTAGAGATAGATCACTGCCATGGAGTTGACTCTGACTCTTAGCAACCTTGCATATAACAGAACAAAACGATTGCATTATCTGCATGATGCCAGTATATTCAAGTCAGGGCTTCCAGCCAGTTTATTCTGGTTTGACACAAGGCTGAGAATTTGTGTTCCCAGCCCAGGTATACTGAATCAGCAAGATCCTCAGGTGATTCGTCCATTGTTTTTGTTGTTAGGTGCTGTTGAGTATGTTCCAATTCATAGCAACCTCTGCACAACACAAAGGAACACTGCCTAGTCCTGCACCATCCTCCCAACCCTCACTTATTTTGAGCCCGTTGTTGTAGCCACAGTGTCAATCCATCTCATTGAGGGCCTTCATCTTTTTCACTGACCCTCTACTTTACCAAGCTTGATACCCTTTTCCAGGGACTGGTCCCTCCTGACAACACGTCCAAAGTACATGAGACAGAGTCTCTCCATCCTTGCTTCTAAGGAGCATTCTGACTGTACTTCTTGCAACAAAGATTTGTTTGTTCTTTGGCAATCCATGATATATTCAGTATTCTTAATATTCTTCACCAACACCATAATTCAAAGGCATCAATTCTTCTGCAGTCTTCCTTATTCATCGTACAGGGTTCACGTGCAAATGAAGCAATTGAAAATACCGTGGCTTGGTTCAGGCATACCTTACTCTTCAAAGTGACATCTTTGCTTTTGAATACTTTAAAGAAGTCTTTGGTAGCAAATCTGCCCAATACAATACGTCGTTTGATTTCTTGACTGCTACTTTCATGGCGTTGATGGGATACAAGTAAAATGAAATCCTTGACGACTTCAGTCTTTTCTCCATTTATCATGATGTTGCTGTTGGTCCAGTTGTGAGGATTTTTGTTTTCTTCATGTTGAGGTTTAATCCATACTGAAGGCCGTAGTCTTTGACTTTCATCAGTAAGTGCTTCATGTCCTCTTCACTTACAGCGAGCAAGGTTGTGTTATCTGCATATCACAGGTTGTTAATGAGTCTTCCTCTAATCCTGATGCTGTGCTCTTCTTCATACAGTCCACCTTCTCAGATTATTTGTTTACTTGTGCTTTATCAACTATGCAAAGGCGTTTGACTGTGTGGATCATAACAAATTATGGATGACATTTCAAAGAATGAGATTTCTAGAACACTTAATTGGACTCATGCAAAACCTGTAGCTGAGTTCTAATTATAAGCCATTCGTTCAACAAGTATGTATTGACTACCTGCTATGTATTAAGCCTGTGACTTGCAATACACTGTTATTCCTCACAGCCCTAGAAAGAGTACCACTGTTACTATCCTGATTTGCTAGAGGAAGAAACCGAGGTTTGGCAGGGTTACACGACCTGCTCACAAGATCACACAGATAGTAGTGACAGAGCCAAATGGGATAGAGTCCAAGGCTGTCCACTCCAAAGCCATCCTTTTAGCTTCTGGACTAAGGCCCTCATTCAACTATTCTACCTCCTGTTCCAGTTTAGACAATGTTCATTTAAAGCCAACAACACAAACTCCCCCAAAATACATGTTTTTAAATGATGGTAAGGGGAGGAATCCATATTCTTCCAAAGTCTAACATCAACTGAACAAAATATAAGTAACAATGAAAATTAAGGTTGATTCAATTAAATCTCTGTAAAACATTGTAGTTGTTGTTATGTGCCGTCGAATCGGACCAGACTCACAGCGACCCCTCCTTAGGTTGCCGAGGCAGTATCACTATGGAAGTAGATTGCCCAACCTTCCTTCCGAGGAGTGGCTGGTGGGTTTGAACCGCCAGCCTTCTGGTTAGCAGTCAAGTGCCTTAGGCACTATGCTACCAGAATTACAGCAGTTAAACAAGTGAGTGCCTGCTAAAGTCAACTCTTTGTTGTTGTTGTTGTTTATCAACAAATATTGAGTATGGTGTGGACACACCTAATACTACAATGGTAGACAGGCACCCACTAAATCACTAAGGCACAGACCTTGGAAAACTGACCATAGTGAACAGGAAAGATTTTAACTCAGTCAGGGGCTGAGAAAAGCAGAAATTTAAGGAGGAAATGGTAATAGGTCAAAAGTGCATGGACCAGAATAATCGAAATAACAAGTCCTTCAGAGTTGAGACTGGTGACAGAATTTGGCTTATGAAATGTGAGGTGCTGATTAAAATACTGATCTGCTTCATTTTCACCAAGGTAACCAGTCTTTGGAAACAGCAACTCAGAGAGACCACATATTAATGCGTAGGGCTCAATGGCCCCCTCTTCTGGGAAGTTCAGGAATAGGACTGCTCCCCCACCACCCAAACCAGTTGCCTTAGAATAGAATCCAGTTCATGGACACCCCCTGTGTGTCAGAGTAGCACTGTGCTCCATATGGTTTTGAACGGCTCATTTTATTTTGTTTTTTAGGAAGGTGATTGCCAGGCCTTTCTTCAGAGGCACCTCTAGGTAGACTTGAACCACCAATCTTTTGGTTAGCAACTAAGTGCATTAACTATTTGTACCACCCAGGGACTCCTCCCAAGTGCCAGCAAACTGAAAACAACTCCTGCTCATTGGGTGGCAAGTGTAGCACCCATTACATTATCACAACTTTATTGCAATAATAATGTCCAAACATTTAGGTCCCTGACTCAGGCCCTGATACCTATGTCTGCCTCACTGGGCCTTTGCCTTTTCAGATTCCAGAGATGTCAGAAAGTGCAGAGTGTTACCACCCCATCGCAGAACATACCATCCAAATTAGTCTTGTGGGTAAATTACATGTTCAAAGATACATGTGCAATGAGATTCAATCTTATCTGGGTTTACCAACTAGGACTAAAGAAAATTACCCAAGTGGGTTGGGCAATATGCTCTTCAGATAAACTACAGAACTATTTCATTCCTAAAATTCCAATGGAAATAATAAGCTGAAGCAACTTGAAAGTAGGGAGCTAATTTCATAGGCCCTAGAATATCACTCTCCCAACTAACACCCAAACAAATACTTTCAACACCCAAACAATCGTTGTCTCAAATTTCATGAATCTGTAATTCATGGTCTGTACTTAAAGTGCAAATTCACTTAAGAAGAATAATACCTTTTTAGCCTTATTTATTTTCTTTTACCACATTATACATGAGCTGTCACATCCTTCAACTAGTGTCCAGAAAGAAAAAAGGAAGGAAGGAAGGGAAGAAGGTGTGTGTGTTGGGGACGGAAGAAGGAAGTGAGGGAAGATGGAGGGAGAAAAGAAGGAAGGAGGGAGGAAGGGAGGAAGAAGCCATTCTCCGTCTCACACTTTTGCCTGGGCCTGGCCTTGGTCATGGGTTTTGATGCCGAATGTCCTTTGCCCTGTTTCGTGAACCAATTCATGTTCCACTGGACACCACGGTCTAACTTGTTCCCACCTTCATGAAGGAAGGTCTTTGTCTTATGCATCATTCTATCTCCAGTTCCCAGTATAGTGTGCCACACGTAAGAAGTACTCAACAATGTCA